GCAAAGATACTAGATGAATCACTTCATCGCGTGAGTGGTCAAACAACTTTGACTTCTTCTTGGTTTTAGGGGCATTGTCCTTCGACCCTGCCTGGACGCTGCCTCCTCAACCCTCACGAGCTGACCAGACAGTTCGATCCCTATACTTAATTAGCGAAGTGGCAAACAAGAATACTCAAATCAAGATACGGAATGTCAACACAAACTCTTTGCATAGACACAATTAGGGTTGGATTTGCAACTAAACTCTTATAACCTTACAGATACAATAGAGCAAATAAAAATACAATTAAATGTATTTTTGTCCAACGGAATGGTCAATTATAAAAACCTAACACTGACTTTTTTACTTATTACAAAAATACATGCTAAAAGTAAAAAGATGATGTAATTTAAATAAGTCAATAAGTCAATAAATTGACTTTTTTTTAAAAAAAATTAAAATTTATTATTTTTGTTACACTACAAAAAATTAAGATTTTAGAAACCAAACTTTAGGGACAAAATTATTTTTTAGGGACCAAATAATTTTGTTGCAAAAAGTGTCGTCATTATATTTTTAACAACAAAAATTAGATATTAGTGATGAATTATTATCCTTTTAAGACCAAATTTTTTGTCTCAAAATATAAACCATTTTGAGACAAAATTATTTTGTCTCTAAAAGTCTATTTATTAGTGACATTTTCAAAATTTTATCACTAAAAGCCTTATTTTTTACTTTTCGGTAGGAGTGAGCATGGTCCGGATTGGAATAAAACCAGGACCAATCCGTTATTTACGGTTCCTGAAAAATCAGAACCAATCCAATCCGTTTTAATCTTGAAACCAATCCAAACCAATCCATTTAAACACGGATTGAATCGGTTTAAGATCACAAATTCATATAATTAAATAACAAAAAAATATATATATAATACTTTAGTTTCATAAAAATATAAGCATAACACTATATTAGTTCCACAATAGTAACATGCTTTTCTATAATAGCGACATAATGTTCTAGAATTTAAATAATCATAAGAAAATTGGTTTCACCATAAGTATTTAAACTATTATAAATTAAAATTAAAAATTAACAAACAAAAATAATAAAAGAAGATATTATACGGGGTTTAGGTTTGAGTTTAGGTTTTATATAGAATAAGAGAATATACTATGGGAGAGGATGTATAATAAAAATATAGACTATTTTGTATACGGTCCGGATCGGTTCCAATCCGGAACCGTGGGGTTCAATTCGGAACTAATCCGTGGACTACGGATTTTTAATTCTTCAATCCGGAACCGAACTATGGATTAAAAAAACCAATCCAAACCTATCGGATTGGACTGGGCTGGATCGAATTACGGATTTTATGGATTTTTTGCTCAACCTTACTTTTCGGGATAACCTTTTAATGACTATCCTCATAACGATAAAAATTGATCCATAAATATCTTTTATAACAACTGGCGCTTCGAGCTTTGTCTGTTTTTTTTCATAAAAATATCCATAATTTTTTTTTTTTTTTTTTTTTTTTTTTTCCTGTTTTTCTGCTGTTTTTTTTTTCCCCTGCTCTTTCTCCTCTTGTTCTTTTTGGTTGGTTCCTCATCAACTGGCGCTTCGAACTTTGTCTTAGCTCCAAGCTCCTCTTTATTGATGTACTATTCCATACCTTGTATGTTGTCATCAATAAAGATTTTTTTTGCCGATAAAAAAAAAAAAAAAATCTTTTATAACAAAATTTTATTTTTAAAGATCAAAATATTTAATCTCTAAAACTCTAATATGTTGTAATGTTAAAAGATTTTCAACAATGGTATGCGGTCGGGAGTAAGGATCTTCTAGAGTTTTTTTTTTCCTAAAGTTTCCTAAAGTGATGCATTATGTGGTTGAGATTTAATAACAACTCACATCAATTTTTTAACTTTAAATCTTAACTACACAATATATCATTTTAAAAAATTTAAAAAAAAAAACACTCTAAAGGATCCCGATGTGGGGTCGGTCACCAGAGCATTATTGAATGATTTGTGTACTAGAGCCCAAAGCGTAAAAAATTGTCCGACTTTAGTGTAGTGATTCCATTTTAAATATCAAATTTTCATAAATGTGAGTTAAGAATAAATTGTGATTTTTCTTAAAATAGTTTTCAGAAAATTCTATTTTTTATATTTTGTTTATTTTTACTGAATTTTTTAATATTTTAAGTAAGTTTTTTTTTTAATTTTTAAACACACCTAAAATAAATACAGTTAAAAAGAATAATTTTTGTGAAAAAATTAAATATTAAAAATACAAAAAAATATTAAAATTTAGTATATTTTTTAATATTTTTGTGTATTTATTAATTTTTTAAAATATTTTTTCACAAATATTTTACTTTTTAGATACATCTAAGTAAGATGCATCTAAAAAAGTAAAAAAAAAAAATTAAAAATATTCACTAAAAATAAAAAAATGAAAAACGAAAAACTTAATTTTCATAAAATGTAATTAAAAAAACTCAAACCATTCAAATTTTTTCGGATTAAGTTTTTTAAAAACTGAGTTTTTTTGTTTTCGTATTTTTTTGTTTTTAGTGAATATTTTTAATTTTTTTTTACTTTTTTATATGCACATTACTTAGATGTATCTAAAAAGTAAAAAATTTGTAAAAAAATATTTTAAAAAATTAAAAAATACATAAAAATACAAAAAATATATTGAATTCTCATATTTTTTTTTTATATTTTTGGTATTTAGTGAATTTTTAAAAGGTTTTTTTTCACATTTTTTTTACTTTTTCGGTATATTTATGTTAGGTATGTCTAAAAAGTAAAAAAAAAACTTAAAATATTAAAAAAATTCAGTAAAAAAAAAAAAAAAAAAAAAAGAAAATTTTTTTGAAAAATATTTTTTGAAAAACCTAACCAAGTTGGCTGACAGGCTGATTAGTTTTGCAAAAGATTTTCAACAATGCTATGCGGCCGGTCGCCATAGCATTATTGAGTGAGTTTTCTACTAGAAACACAAGCTTGAGAATATAGATGATCGAGTGAAGCTGAATGATCCAGTGAAGCTGAATAATATATTTTTTAAATTTGGTTGAAAATTAAATTTTAAAAATATATCCAAATTAATTTGTTTACTTTTTGATTCGATACCAAAATAACTTAATCAAATTGGGCTGAAACAATTTGATTTTTGACCCAATTTTATGGCAAATATAAATTCACTGATTCAAGTTTAAACTAAATTTTAAATATTAATTAATTTTGAAATATATTTAAATATAACTTACTTATATAACAAACTCATTTCAAATGAATTTTTAAGGGGAAATTTAAATCAGTGAAAAACCTAAAAAATAATTATAAATTAGTGATAAATTTTATTAATATTAATAATTAAAATTATAAAAAATTTCATTTGTAATAACTTACTCACATCAGCTATGATTGGTAATTTTTCCAATTTATAATATTATTAGTTATATAGGCTCTGTTTGGGGAGTTAGGTTTATAATTAAAAATCATTATAAATTGTCATATCATTATTTTTATTTTTTACACTTCTTTTCATAAAAAATTAGTTGTTTGGGATAATCTAAATAAATACATTTTTTAATTTTTTACGAAAAGATGTATAAAAAAATAAAATGATGATGTGACTCAAAAAAATAAAAAGGAAAAAAATGTGTTATTTTAGTGCACCCCAAACAAAAAAAATTAACTATGCTTTCATTTGGAAAGAGCTGATTTAACTTGAATAAATTAATTTCGTTTAGAAAGACTTTTGACCTTTTTAGTTTGGATTGGATATGATGATTATAAATTAAAAAAAATTATATTTAAACATCACATTTTACTGAATTAATCTATTTTATTTTTTGGTATTTATTTAGTCATTTTGGCCCTGTTTGTTTTCAGATGTAGAATGGAGAGAATTGATAGTGAAGAGATTAAGTAAAATTGTATTTGTTTTGATGATAGTTGTTAGTGTAGGGATTGTTAAATTATTTTTATATAAAATAAATATAAAATAATAAAACAAATAAAAAAATACAAAAAATATTAAACATTAATGTTTTAAAAAAAATGTCCAACATGTAAAAAATTTTAAAAAAATAAAAATAAAATAAAAAATTTTCAGGAAAAAATATAACAAATAAATAATGATTTTTACTTAACAAAAAATACAAAAAAATTAAACATTAATGTTCAAAAAAAATGACTGACATGTAAAAAATAAAATAATAAATAAATAAAAATAAAAAATTTGTAGTCCGCCGAACTATTTTTTTAATACCAAGTCTTAGATGTCCATCCAAATTTCCTTAGGGAGGCCCATCTTAATCCGGAGTTCACAATCAATCCCCTCCATATTACTCAAAACAAATATAATATTAATATATTATATCTCACTACCAATCATAATTCTCCATGACTGACATGTAAAAAATAAAATAAAAAATAAATAAAAATAAAAAATTTCTAGTCCGCCGGACTATTTTTTTAATACCAAGTCTTAGATGTCCATCCAAATTTCCTTAGGGAGGCCCATCTTAATCCGGAGTTCACAATCAATCCCCTCCCTACTACTCAAAACAAATATAATATTAATATATTATATCTCACTACCAATCATAATTCTCCTTTTAACTCTCCAAACAAACGAACCTTTAGTCTTTTCAGAGAAGACCTATATAGACCTCAGTCTCGCATACAATCGAAGTTGGAGCAAATAAAGGTACACGTGTCGAGCAAACGTGCCGGGAACATACTTATATGCACCGGCCAAGTAGCGCACCTTAACAAACCTCTCGTAGATTGAAACACTGACTCATCATAAGTTTCGTGCGAGCTTCGTCCCCTCATCGGTATTCTGTTCCGTGTTTAATTCAATTTTTGGACGCTTTCGCCCTCACCTCACCGCACCCCACCACAGCTTATTGTCTATCAATCTATCTAGCACACCGATCCCAATAGTTAACAACTAACCATGGTTATCTTGACCACAGGAGTGGGTTAAAACACCGCCACCTGCGAGTCCTATAAAACCGACCCACCTCGGCACCTGTCACCACATCTTACCATCTCGAAACCTTATTGAATGGTTCAACCCTTTTCTTCTCTCTCTCTCTTCACTGTTATATCATCACTTTCTCTTCTTTTTTGCCATTCAAGTTTCTGGTTAGCTCTCTTTCTTTCTCCTATTTGCTTTTGTTCTTGGACAGTACTAGATAAGCTTCCATTTGATTTCTCTTCATTTTGAAGTTAAACCTAGATTAGCATCATATCTGTACCTTAAATTTCGCTAAATTTGAATTCGAAAATATTTGAATATTGAGAGTTTGTTGCTTTTAGCTAAGTAGGTAGGTAGTGTTCAACAGTTCTTGGATAAGGTTTATATTTCCTTTAGAAAAAGAACCCTTATATATATATATATGTTTTATTTATTTTTTTAATAATTTCTAATTACGAAATATGATTTGTTATTACCCAAGTGTATTTGTTTGTTTTTGTGTGAATTTGAAGAGAAAAAATGGCGACGAATGGAGGAGAATTCAGCTTTGCTTCGTCGAGTCCAAAAGCGAAAGGGAAGAATGGGCTGGCGAAGATACAGACACAGATGAAGAAGACACACGAGGACGAGATCTGCCACGATGACAGCGCTCCCCCAGTGAAGGCGAAGACGATTGATGAGTTGCATTCCCTTCAGAGGAAGAGATCTGCTCCCACCACCCCCATCAAAGGTACTCAGGGCGCCTTTGCCTCCGCCATGTCCGAAGAAGACCGCCACAAGCAACAACTCCAGTCCATCAGGTACTTCTTTTTTTAAATCAATTTTGTTTGAGTTATGCTTAGAACCAAATAATCTATCAAATTTTTTATCAATGTGAATTTATGTGGATTCTATTTTCTTTGGTAAAAAATTTAATAAATTAGTTAGAATTTATAACATTTTCTATTTTATTTTACGTCCACATAATTTGATAATAAAATTATATAATTTGATTTTTTTAATTTTTTGACTAATTTAATCTGAACCACTCATGATGTGGACCCTATACATACATGAGTGATCCCCACACATATATGAAAGGCCAGGATCATAGGTCCCAAACAATTTCCTTTATCTTTTTGTATTTTTTTTAATCACAACTTAAATTCAATTGACAAAGGGGAATTTAATCCTCTCAAATAAAGTGGAATCTACTATATGTGTACAAAAATTGATTATAAAATTTTGGACAAATTTTAATTTACCCTTGTGATTGTACCTCAGAACATTTTATTGACATTTGATTAATATTAAGATTTAATTTAGAGAATAAGATAAATATAAGAGTATTATTGACATTTGATTTAATTTTTGACTTTGACTAATGATTTTTGCGTTGTCCACTCTCAATTTTGGAGAGTGTGGCACACTTTCAATTATTTTTAAAGTAGCACTTTAATCTAAAATCAGAAAAGAATTATTTGCTTATATTTGAGTTATAAGTGAGTAAAGTGTTTTGAGACGAAATCAAAAAGAGCTAATATGAATTTTGCCCTAAAATTTTTACTCAAGGGTAGGTCTCATTGTTTGTGTCATACAACTATATTAGATAATGGTATTTGATTCAGTGGTTGATTATGTAAAAATAAAAAGACATGTACAAAGTGAGGGCTGTGTCTATTTGTGATCCAATTATATAGATTTAATTCTTTATTTTTATTTTTATTTTTTTGTTATGAAAAACACTGTTGGAAACATGCCTAAGACAACGTTATGTATAGAAAAATAGAAAATTTATTGACAAAAATAAATACTTGAGATTCATTTCATACACCCGTAGCTTTGTGTCTTATTTGTATGCTTTTCAACTCCAGGAAGTTGAGGGTTCGAGCCCTTCAAACCCATAGCCTTGTGTCATATTTGTATGTTTTCCAACTCTAGGAGGTTGCGGGTTCGAGCCTTATTTGAAGTAATGGGAGTGGTCCCTTTTTTTTTTAAAACATTTTTCCTTGGATTATTAGACTAGTATAAGTTCAAACGAATGACAAAAACGAAAAAAAAAAATATTTTATTTCATACTTGGTCCTACTGTACAAAAATTAAATCTAATTTGGACATCAATTTTTGGTAAAATTTTTATGTTGGGTTGGTGAAACAACAGTGCTTCATTGGCGTCACTGACGAGAGAGACAGGGCCAAAGGTGGTGAAAGGAGACCCAGCTAGAAACGCGGAGACGCCGAAGGTGGCCCACCACCACCAACAGCACCTTCACGCTCCAACGATCAGCACCAGTGACAGTTCCCTCAAGTTCACCCACATCCTCTACAACCTTTCTCCTGCTGGTAAATTCTTCTCTCTTCATTTTTTTGTTTTTTTTTTTTGATGCTCAACATTTTATAAAGTTATTATAAGTCATGCATTTGACGTCAATAAATTTTTTTTTGGTACCTCATAAAGAAATTTGATGTCACGAATCAAGATCCAATTTTTAGGCAATATACCCTTCTTGGTTTTCTCTTTGTTGCTAGATCAAATGGGATGGATAATAAATCAATCGTTAGGTAATTTTACAGGCTGTCTAGACCCATTAAGAAATTTTCGAAGAACTTTCATTGTCAAAAGTCTTATCTTTTAAAGGGGTAATTACAACCTGATCTTATTACCCATATTGATTTATGAGTACTATTATTAGCACTCCATGAATTATTTTGAATTTTCAATTTCTTTGAATCTTCACTTATAAATTTGAAACTCTTAAAAAAAAAAAAATTCTCCAAATAATATCAAAATTATCCTTGTGAAAACATTTCATTCATTAAATGCACACCCTCCACACCTAAAAAAATTTTACTTCCAAAAAAATCCTAACAAAGCCCACGAAGAAGAAGAGGCAATGTGATTACTGTCTCTATTACCTCATCTACCATTGTCACAGTTAGTATGCTCTTACTCTCTCTCTCTCTCTCTACATATATATATATATATATATACATAATTTCTTAATTTTCTCATAATAATTTCTTATATTGTAAAAGAAATTAAAATAATTAGTTTAGTTTTCTCAGTAAAACAGGTTCGAACCTATGAATTGGTTACCTGTTTCCAAACAAATAATAAATGTTCGGTTATTGGTTCCCGAACTAATCAACAATGTTCGGGTTTGTATTCCCAAATTTCGATAATATATTACAGAGTTTAGTCCCTAAAAAATGGTGAATAAATTTTATTATTTTCGCCATTTTTTTTAAAAAAAATTTACCCTTATAAGACCAATCTCCTCTGAACTCAAAACAACATCAAAGTTATGAACCACCTCTAAACTTTTGTTGTTGTACTCCTCTCGTCTTATGGAGTTGTGGTTGTCAGAAAAACTTCCACTCATTGTCATTGTCGGAGAAGTGTAGGTAATCAAATGACTGCCACCGTTACCGCCAGAATATTGCCGTCAAAGGGTTTTCAAGCTTTTGGGGGTGGGTAGGTTTTGAAGATGAGATTTGGGGAAGATGGATATGTGATGATGGAGGTAGGTGCTCTCATAAACCCTAATTCATGATGTAGTGGGTGTGTAGGTTTAATTGTGAGATGGGGTGTCCCAAAATTAATTATGTCCTTTGTAGTAATTTTAATTGATGTTATTATTATAATAAAAAAAAACTAAAATTTAGAAGGTCTAAAATAATTTATGAGATGCTAATAGCTGTACCCTTATTTATTTATAAGTTTTATTCATTTTCTCATCTATCAATATAATAAAACAAAACAGACATTTTAAAACTTACTAATGCATTAAACAAATATATCGGACTCGTAAATATTTAAGTCCACTGAATAAGATTAGTTTGTAATTTTTCCTTTTTTAAAGTCTATTACAATAAAGTATGTAAAGTCTCAAAAAAAAAAAAAAAGAAAAAAAAATCACTTGAACCATTCCCTTCTACTCTTTCCGAAAGAAGAACGGGTCGAATCTACTTTTGTGCAATGTGATTTCTCTTTCGCTTATATTTTTTCTTTTAAAATATTAATGTTTTTTTAATTTCTTTTTTCGTAAGAAACCCATTATTATTTCTCATAATAAATTTGTTGTTGCAAAATTCCTTTTAATGCATTGGAGAGGAGTAAAAGTCAAATTCATGATATCTTAATTTAATGAGGTACACACATTTTGGCTACGGAACTAAACTCTTAATGATTCAAACCCAAAATTCTTGAGCTGTTAATCAACCATGTTAGGCAACTTTTAAATTGTGTTTAAATATTGAATTTTGACAGTTCTATATGAAAGGAAAAAAGAAAGAAAGATTAAAAAAATAAATGAAAATGACGTCTATTTTATTTATTTATTTTTCACAAAAATCTCTTAATAAATTTGATATCTAAATTAACGAGTAGTTTTGTGGTGGAAGATTAAGTATTGAGGAATTTTAGATAAAATAAAGGATAAATTACAAATACACCCTTTGAAATTTGATTAAAATACAAATTGGTCCTTATGATTTTCGAAATTAGATTTCACCTTTGAGATTTCTAATTTCATAACAAATCGCTCATTTTATTAATAAATCATCAAGTCAATTAAGAATTTTTAATGATTTTAAAAATATATTTCAATTAATAATTTAAATAATTTTATTCATGTATAGGAGAGCATTTATGAATTTCATTTTTTTAGTTAATTCTATTAAATAAAAAAATTTATATATCATTTATTAACAATAACAAATCGCTCATTTTATTAATAAATCATCAAGTCAATTAAGAATTTTTAATGATTTTAAAAATATATTTCAATTAATAATTTAAATAATTTTATTCATGTATAGGAGAGCATTTATGAATTTCATTTTTTTAGTTAATTCTATTAAATAAAAAAATTTAACAAGAGAGTATTTATAATTTTTCATATCACAACAGACAATTTATAATTTAAACAAATTTCAAGAGTATATTTGTAATTTACCCTAATATATAGCATCTTTGTGAATCTTTCAAGTCATTCTCTCCCACCACTTTCTTCTTGAATGATGTAAGCAATAAAATGACTCAAGCTCTTGACTTGGCGATATTACTTAAATTATAAATTTTTATTAAAAAAAATGCATTAGAGCATTTCTAAAACTAAAATAAAGAATATGATAGTTGTTACTACAATTCATTAAATTAAATCTTAGTGATTGAGTGTTGCTTTCTTCTTTTTCTTTCTTCTATTATCCAGTTTTTTCTCTAAAAAATTTACACTCTTATAATTTTTATGATAATTGTTATTTGTACCGCTAAGTGTGTTTTTGACCACTACAGAATTGTACGAGCAAGCCATAAAATACGAGAAAGGATCATTCATAACGTCGAGTGGCGCTCTAGCCACCCTATCCGGTGCAAAGACGGGTCGCTCACCCAGAGACAAGCGCGTCGTCAAGGACGAAACTACTGCCGATGAGCTTTGGTGGGGAAAGTAAGTCACCCCCTTTCCCTCTCCCTTGGCTAATATTTGCTTCAATAAGTTTAATCAAATTGAAGTGTTCTTTGAAATTATATTTTAAACATGATTTCAATCTTAAAATCGTGCTTTCAATTCAAGAATTTGCAAAATAATGTGTTGGAGAAATAAATTTAAAACATCATACTGGTGGAAAATTTGATTAGAAAGATGACTTTGGTGAAAACCTTTATGTTTCAACTAAATGAAAATCACCTTTTTAAAATAATACATTATTAATATAGTGGTGTGATTTAATTGGTCTCGTCTCAGGGGCTCACCCAACATTGAAATGGACGAGCACACTTTCTTGGTCAACAGAGAAAGAGCTGTTGATTACTTGTGCTCCTTGGACAAGGTATTTCATGCTAATCCCTCTTTTTTATTTATGTTTTTTTTTTTTAACAATATTATAAACTCAAATATATAATATAATAAGATATTTGCGTTGGGTTAGTTTAAAATTAAATAAATATATATAATCTAATACGTAAGAAAGATAAAGATACTACATTTATCACTATCAAACTATCACCTCTAACTCACATGGTGGGGGAACCACTACATGTGAGAAGCCATAGTTTACATATTGACAAATGTAATCAAATTTCGGTAATATCTAACCATAATTGATGAAATACAAATCACACAAATGAACAAATGTACAAAAGAAAGATAAATCACATGTATATATGAAAACACAAAATTTACGTAAATCAAAATTCACACTGCCCATCACATATATCCTCTTAAGATTACTTATTTAAATTACATAAACTAGTAAAGTGGTTCCATATTTTTCTCTCCTCATGTACCAAGAAACCACGTTGCTTTTGTAAAATCAAATATAATATTTAGACCGAATCAAATAAAATATAGTCGGTTTTTATGCTGTGGATGTTGAATTTGGTCCAAATAGCATTTCTCTTATGCTTTGCCCTCACAAGTTTTAATTTACAATTTTTTTTCCCTCCGGAATTGCTCCACGTCAGAAATTGATGGGTTGACTTTCCCATCTTAACCCAGAATTGATTGCACCTTAGAAATCTTGGGATTTTTTATGGGGAAATCTTTTGATGATATCATTTACGATGCCAAACTTTGAACCTCGTGATTTTCTTAATAAAGTCTTAGATGACCTTTAATGTCCTTCCATTAGCCCAAGGGTTATTATCATTACCTTTTTTTTTTCACTGTCACGTTTTCCCACTCTTGATGATGAAATGAGATGGGAATGAATTTTCTCTTCCCTTCATCTTTTATGCCATCTTATCTTGATTATATTTATTAGATTTATTTATTATATATATACATATATATAATTTAAAATTTTAAAATCTAATAAGACTAGAATACTAAAATATTAATAATTATTTTACTTATTTTATTTCATATCTTTTAACTCTTATTACTTATACAATAATTTTTATTAGTATCATTATTTTTGTCTCACTACCTTCTTAAGACTCTTATTTGCCCTACTCTCAATACAATATACTATATCATCTTTTATTTTTATTAATATCATTATTTTTGTCACGCTCCCTTCTTAATACTTTTATTTGCCCTACTCTCAATACAATTCAAGATAATGATAGGACTATACAAACCCATCCCCCTTTCCTTGCCAACCCTATATATGTTGACTTATCGGCATATATTGTCAAGAAGCACCAACGGTTGATGCAGTGGCACTACTATTAATAAATGGAGAGTGATGTTCATTGGCTCCACCATGTTTATGACATGGGACAATACATTTATACATATCAGAAGAATGGTTAATTTTTCATGATGTTTCATTTCTTGGCTTCTTTCTCGAGTAGTGCCCATTCCACACTGCCTCTGTAAACATAACCTTTATCTATAGGATGAGACTTGCTACTTTTTAAATAATATTAGATTTCTTTATTTTTAATCTTATGTGTATATATATTATTTATAAAAATAAATAAATAAATTTATTTAATTATTTGATTTATTTATTTTGTAATATATTTGAATTGGAGAAAACTCCAATCCAATCTATATTGTATTGTTGTTATGGTATATATATCACATGGTTTATGGGTCCCCAAGTTGAAGCAACAGAATCTGGAAGTAGGATCCACCAAGATTAGTTAGTGGAGAAGGAAAGCTCCATCTTTCTTTATGGGAATGAGTAAGAAATCAAATACATAATGAGACACAATCCTCTCATAAGGGGTGGAGCCTACTCTTTACGAGAGGATTATATCCTATTCTGTATTTAATTTTTGTCTTTCTAACATTATTGTTTAAGAATAATTTGATGATGGAGGAAGATGCATGTATATATATATATATATTTTTTTTTTTTCTAGTCGCGACTTACACTGGCCAGGGATTGATTGATCCTTAGCCAGATATCCAAAGGTTGACATCCCAACAGCTATTTTAAAAGTTTTGATGTATGCAATCATGCTTGAGATTGAGAATCACCTTTCCTTAAAAATTCCCACTTTTTAAGTGTTTGGCACTATGTTCAGAAGTAATTTACCACCGCGATAGTTTTGATTTTTTTAATAGTTTCCAATGAATTATAATCAATTAATTTTTTAATTTTTAATTTTTATTTTTTTTAAAAAAAAAGTGAGATCCAAAATCTTATTTTGATTTTTTTAATAGTTTCCAATGAATTATAATCAATTAATTTTTTAATTTTTAATTTTTTTAAAAAAAAGTGAGATCCAAAATCTTATTTTATCGACCCTCTTAGACCAAAATGTAGAAAGACAAGACCTCTCTCTTTTCTTTTTTTTTTATATGACCAATCATTTTTAATTCAGGACCTTTTACTTGCAATGTCCGAATAGTGGAAAGCCAACCATCGCTTGATACCCCAATTACCAAAAAATTGGTGATTGCTGAACAGTTGAAGCTCTTACCCTTGAGAGCCCTGCAAAAACCTTAGAATAGCATGGACCCATCATTATATGGAGCAGTTAATCACTTCGGTATGCGACACATGCTTCACACTGTATCTCAGCTGTTGATTAATGTGGTCACTCCGCGGTGGTTTACCCCAGTCAACAGTTGAGAAGTAGTATGCAATGGCAAATAATTTTTTCCCATAATATGCGTCGGTGGGGGAAACCGTAGGAAGGGGGGCAACCCGCGAATTCAAAGAGACAGGGCATGTGCACAGATCTTATATAGCTTTATTCGCATTTATGGTGATTGTTCCCTGTAGAATTATATCTGTCAATCTAGCTAATTAATTACCAAATAACATAATACAAATTCTAAATACCGGTTCTCTAATCTTCATTTTTCCATTTCAGGTGTTCGTGAACGATCAGTTTCTGAATTGGGACCCGGATCACCAGATTAAAGTTCGAATTGTATCCGCCAGAGCTTACCATTCCTTGTTCATGCACAACATGTGAGTAAATGACCCTAAAAACAAAACGCTTCACTCCCTATTATTTTTGTACATTCTTGACATTTCACAAATGCTATATTCTTAAAGACAATAAGTCAAGAAATTAATCTGTGTGTGAGTCAGTAAAAAGAAATTAGTTTAGTTTATGTAAGATAACTGGGTCGGTTGCAGGTGTATCCGACCCACTGCTGAAGAGCTGGAGAATTTTGGTACTCCGGACTTCACAATATACAATGCAGGGCAATTCCCATGTAACCGTTACACTCACTACATGACTTCCTCAACTAGCATAGACATCAATCTTGCTAGGAGAGAAATGGTCATCCTCGGCACTCAATATGCTGGGGAAATGAAGAAAGGCTTGTTCAGCCTTATGCACTATCTCATGCCTAAGCGTCAAATCCTATCCCTCCACTCTGGTTGCAATATGGGCAAGGATGGAGACGTTGCCCTCTTCTTTGGCTTGTCAGGTAATAAAAATTTTGTCATCGGATGGTCATAGCAACAGGCAGGGGAGGCCTTAACTTACCACCCAAATGATACATGCCTTCTTTCAATCTCTTTTGACCTTTCAACTCATTTTTTGTTTGGTTTGTTGTTGACGAAATGTGTTTTTGTTTTTGTGTTTGTTTTAGGTACCGGAAAGACTACGTTGTCTACGGATCATAATAGGTATTTGATTGGAGATGATGAACATTGTTGGAGTGAGAATGGTGTGTCTAACATTGAGGGTGGTTGCTATGCAAAGTGTGTTGATTTGTCTGGGGAGAAAGAGCCTGATATTTGGAATGCCATCAAGTTTGGGGCTGGTAACATTTTGCCATCAAAATTTCACTTTTTATGTAAAAATTGAAAAATTGTTTCATTAGAGTTGATCTCAAAGTATTTCTTGTTTTTGCAGTTCTTGAAAATGTGGTGTTTGATGAACATACTCGAGATGTGGATTATTCTGATAAATCTGTCACAGGTAAACATATAGTAAATTATGTTGATTTGAATATGAAGCAGATGTGGAACTATCAATTTGAATCACAAAATGGAAAATCTTGAGATCAAGCTATGCTGATTCATGTTTTGACTCTTTTTTTTTTTTTTTTTTTTTTTTTTTTTTTTGTATTGCAGAAAATACTCGGGCGGCATATCCTATAGAGTACATCCCCAACGCTAAGATCCCGTGTGTTGGACCTCATCCGAAGAATGTCATCCTTCTGGCTTGTGACGCATTTGGTGTTCTTCCACCTGTGAGCAAGCTGAGCTTGGCCCAGACCATGTACCACTTCATCAGCGGATACACTGCTCTCGTATGTACCGTCATTGAACTTGATATTTTTAAGTTTGTTTAGGCTTGGATATTTGGGAGTAACAATTTTTCTCAAACGTGTTTTGTTGATAATATAACAGGTAGCAGGAACAGAGGATGGCATAAAAGAGCCAACGGCGACATTCTCGGCCTGCTTTGGTGCAGCATTTATAATGCTTCATCCCACAAAGTACGCAGCCATGCTGGCTGAGAAAATGCAAAGGCATGGGGCTACCGGATGGCTTGTTAACACTGGTTGGTCAGGCGGAAGGTATGAATTTTCACGGCAACTTGTATCCAAGTAATGCATTTCCAAGCTAATACATGGATCTGAGGAGATGTGATTTTGTTTGTTTTGCAGCTATGGATCAGGCAACCGAATCAAGCTAACTTACACCCGAAAAATCATTGATGCGATACACTCGGGGACTCTTTTGAATGCAAACTACGTTAAGACTGAGGTGTTTGGGCTCGAGATCCCAACCAAAATTGAGGGTGTGCCATCAGAAATTCTTGATCCAGTGAACACAGTAAGTATTTTTTTTTTTCTCTCTCTCTTTACATTATCACACTGTTGTTCCAAGCGATATCCAAACTCAAAACAATCTGTGTTGGAATTGCAGTGGTCAGACAAGAATAAATACAAGGAGACACTGTTGAAGTTGGGAGGTCTGTTCAAGAAGAACTTTGAAGTATTTGCAAGCTACAAGATTGGAACTGGCAACGATCTTACTGAGGAGATCTTGGCTGCTGGTCCAATTTTCTAATGGGAATGATCTGTGATATTTGATGGAATGGAAGGAGGATTCAAAGAGAGAAAATAAGTTTAATATGTAATTATTGGATTATTCTTATGCCTCATTTTTATGGGTGTTTATATATATATATATATAACTAGTAGCCTCTATTTCTTTATAGAAAGAGGCAATCTTTCTCTCAACTTATGTTATAAAATAAATAAAATTAAAAACGATTAGGGAGTCTGAAAAAGTAAGGGCTAAAAAAATTAAATTGTGTGATGCAGATTCAAACTTGACGTGACGAGCCACATTCAATTTATCCATTTATTTTATGATAATTTTTCAAATAAATTTTGAGTTGCATAATGTGACCAAAAAAAAAAAAAACTACGGAAAAAAAAAATTACTTTCGTCTTCTCTCAAATTGCCGCTGCCTTGAACCTATCAATTTATAACAAATAGCCTATTGAGACTCATTTAATAACCCATAATGAGAAGGATCTCCTCCAGTCGACTGGAGGGTGTTATTTGAGCCCACAACACCTGTTACGGGTCTCGTTTCGATAATTTAAATCGTTCATTTTGTCAGATATTTTATGTATTTTATCTACAAAAAAAAGAAGAAGGTCAATCTAATAATTGTAACTTGTTCAGTTTTTCACTAAAAAAATAAACAACAATTATGTTTTTAAAAATAAATATTTAAATCATACATTTTATTAGTGACAAATACAATAAATGACATTGTCACATTATTCTGACGTAAAATTCTATATAAAAATTATGTAGTTAACTACAGTGAAGAAATATGTAGTCTACCACTCCAATGAAAAAGCTAGAATGGAACAATTATTGAACAATTGGTGAGCAAACAAGTGATAGGTTGGGTCCATATAATCATTTGTGTTTGAACAAACGACCCCTATGCTTAAACATAAATTTCACTATAAAATAAAATAAAAATAACAAATCCAAATCAATCTCAAAAAATTACTTAGCATCATCAACAACAAAAAATTCAACAAATTACACAATGAACAGATTGTTTTTCAAAACAAATAAAAATACAAGGAACAAACAGATGTCTCCTTTACCTAAACATCAAAATCTTGCAAGGGAAAAAGAAATTTACGCATAATTTCTAGTTGGAATTCTGTTGGAAGAGATTGTAAAGAGAACATACATAAAGATTGAAGAAGGAAAATCTGTTTTTTAATGATCAAAGAGTCTTCCATACTATGCAGGTGCAGTGAGCGAGTGTTCTATACCAACAGATACCTTCAGCAAATTCCAATGGAGATGCTCTAAGAGCATCCACAAGAACGCAAGCTAACCATTAATTTCGCTAAAATAGCTCACTAACTTCAAGAAAAATCCCTCAAGCTGAGTACCTGAGTCATCAAAAAAAAAAAAAAAAACAAAAAAAATTTTGTGTACAATAGCTAACTACTTTATAAAGTGGGATTTCGACTAGATATTTTGATTAAGATTGCTAGAAATGGTCCACGTCTGTTGAGTGCCAAATCCCAAAAATTCAATAATCATTGGGCAAAGACTATTCTGAGTTTTATTGTCTTGTGCAAAAAAGGCTCTCTGCAAAGTGAAAGAAGTTTCCTTAGTTGACTTCATTGATTATATAGTCCCTTTCCACCCAAACACCTGATGTCGCCAACCACCGATCATCACTGTTGGCCATTGATAACTAGCAACTTTTTCGACTTGTTCTTATCACCAAATAAATTTTTTTTTATCTTGGATCTAATTTCCTTATACCCCTTTTGGGATAGACTTTTCACCAATTTTCTCTTTAAAAATGGCCCTTGTAGTTGCCTAGAGATTACTGCTACAGCACATTTCATACCCAAAAATTGTATTCCGAAAATATTATTCTAAAATTAAAATCATTTTCTAATTTTATGTGCATAGATAATTCATAATAAATAAATAAATAAATAACTTAATCTATCCAATAAGCATAGTCACACGATTTCATTATATTTATTTTCAAAAAAAATGAACAATACTATCAAAATCATACTTGTGTTGTGTCTATTTTTTTGACTTAAAACAAATATAATTAAATATGTGACTAGGATTATCACATCGATTTAAAAAATGATCGGTTCAGATCATCAAAACCAACAACACGATGCTTGACAAAATGCAGGATTGGACTGACCAAACAACCTCCATGACTCAAGAGAAGTCTACTCCTTCACAAAATAAAAATAAAAACTTTCCCAGTGATGGCCAAAGACTGCGGTGCTTACGATTATGACAATTCACAACTCCTAATTGATAATTTCCAGGAATCTACAAAGATGAAGATTAGCAATTTCCCTGGTAGAATGATAACACCAACCTTGCAAATCACAAAGCTTTATCGCTTGCTTTTGTTTTCACAGCAACCAAACAGAACACCATAAAATTTGCAAAAGCTGTGTGTCATGGCTCAAATAGTAGTATCACCCCTTCTACAGCTGATCTTCGAAAAACTTGCTTCACAGGTTTTGATGAAGCTTCAGTTCAACAGCCACTATCGGAAAAAGCTCGAGAAGCTGAAAGCTACCCTGCCTGTGATTCAAGCAGTCATCGAAGATGCAGAAGAACAACAGCTCAAGGATAAGAAGGTTAAGGTCTGGCTGAGAAAGCTTCACGATGTGGTTTACGACATTGATGACCTTCTGGACGAGGTCACCATCCAGTTTCTCCAAAGAAAAATGAAGAAAAAGAAGGTACCGATGGTTTGCTTAGCTCTTGAGCCTGTTTCAAACTACTATGTTATGCCTCGTAAGCTGACAACGATTCAAGAGAGGTTGGATGATATAGCAAGAGAGATGTCTAACTTCCAGTTCAGGGAGAGAATGGTGTATGAGCGGCCTCATATGATAGAACGACGACAAACAGGACCTCATATAGATGAATTAGAGGTTTGTGGTAGAAGAAAGGACGCGGATGCTGTTGGGAAAAACTACTCACATTACATAATTTCACATTGCATATCGTAAAATTATGAGATGAACAAAACAAACTTTCAATCCCAGAAAAAATAACATGCTAAATAAAATACAGATAAAATATAAAATGGTTAAAGGAAGCAAACCGAAGCCTGTGTGATATCACAGTCTCTTTAAAATAAATTCGCCGCCTCACCGTTGGGTGCTAGAGGTACGCCGGCGTCTACTTCCCAGGATACGACGGTTTTTACCAGCTACAACAGAAGCACTTTCTGATTAGTTTAGCGAATGGACAACGGCAGCACTTTCTCTCAAGAAGAAAATTATAGGAGAAGTAGACTGACAGTGTATAGATGTCAAGGAAAAATTCTATATCTCTTTTCAAGGAATAGGGCCTCCTTTTGTACACCATGGGGAGAGGGGAGGAGCTTCTAGCCATCAAGGCTGGCAACTAATGCTAGCAAAACTGCCCAATCAATTTTGTAAAACTGATGAGCCTTAAATGTGTGAGTTATATACACATTTATGAGACAATTTCTTATTCAACCATTTTTCTCCAACAATCCCCCACATGAATAAAAATTGACCGAATACAGCAAACGTTCAACGCTTATCAACAAAGACTCGGAAAGAGAGAGAGCACATAGACTAACCCTGCATCAGAAAAGGTAGCTGTTAGCCTTGAACCTTTCGTAGTGAAAGTCTATCGGATTTATTGGCTGACCAGTAAACGTGATGTCTTGAACTGTTCTGCCGTTTATGTAAATCGAGACAATAGACCTCACACAGGAGTTAGTCCAACCATTGTTCTTGTTCTCACTGGTGTGTCCGGTATGGTCCTGGAACACTAGCCTGGTTCTGTGAGTATTTTTAAAGAATTCGGCCTTGGTAATTCTTAAAGAAGCGGCCCCACTTCGCACTCACATAGGTGACCTAGATACGGTATTTCATTATACCACATCACTAAGGTCATTAAAAGCATTAGCTTAACTTTTCACCCCCACAGGGCATCACTGTATAAAGGAATGGGCAAGAGGATTTACCTCTTCAGTGACTCACTCATTACACGAAGTTAGGTTGTCCCTTTGAACCTAGATCTTGGGATCTCCAGTCAACTAAGTTGGGTTTTCCGTTCCGGTAATCTTTACTAAAGGCCTTAACCTCATTCCTCTTGACGACTTTTCTACTAATTCTCGAGTTAACCCTTTGGTTAGCGGATCCGCAATGTTGTCCTTAGACTTGACATAGTCTAGAGAGACAACTCCATTTGAGAGTAGTTGTCATATGGAATTATGTCTACGACAGATATGTTTAGACTTTCCATTATACATATTACTCTGTTCCCGACCAATCGCTGATTGGCTATCGCAATGAATACTGATAGCTAGCACAAGTTTTGGCCAACGTGGAATTCACAAATAGGTGTACTACAGTCTCAACTGTTTGAATCCTTGTGTGGGAAGCGATACCTTCTCGTGTTGGATGATGTATGGACCGATGATCAAGACGAATGGGAGAAACTGAGATATCCATTGAGAAATGGTGCAGATGGAAGCAAAATTATAATCACCACTCGCAGCAAAAGAGTTTCATCAGTAATGAAAACAATGCACCCTTACACATTGGAAGCTCTAAGCGAAGATGATTGCTGAACTTTGTTCAAGCAACAAGCTTTTGAGTCAAGAGAGGAGCGAGGATATCCAAACTTGCTGCTGATAGGGAAACATATTGTCAAGAAATGTGGAGGGGTGCCTTTAGCTGCCAAGATTCTTGGAAGTTTGATGCGCTTCAAAAGAGAGGAAAGTGAGTGGCTACATGTGCAAAAGAGCAAACTATGGAATCTGGATGAAGGAGAGAATAGAACTTTTTCGGTTTTAAGGTTGAGTTATGACCATTTGCCATCACATCTGAAACGATGCTTTGCATACTGCTCAGCATTGCCCACGAATTTTGAGATCAACAAGAAAAAGTTGATACGCCTGTGGATTGCGGAAGGCTTGATTCAGTTGTCTGGTGATACTTATTCTACCGAGAAGACGGAGGACACTGGCAATGAATATTTCAATGATTTGCTGTTGATGTCTTTCTTCAAAGCTGTAAATAAATATGATAACAGCAATTCACCAGAGTTTACAATGCATGATCTCATTCAAGACCTTGCAAACTTTGTCGCAGGTAATGAGTTCCTGATGCTAGATCAGGATGATGCTTCTATCATGCCTGCAAAAGTTCATCACTCATCAGACCCAAGTAGTAATCTTGCCCGAACTCACCATGCATCAATATTCTGCAATTTTTGGTCTTACAGGGTTCCTGAAGCTTTGTACGCAGCAAAGCAATTAATAACTCTTAGATTTTTCTCTCCAACAAATGACTCTGACAAAGCCCTACCGATCATAACTGCAGTCTTTAAACGCCTCGGAGTGCTAGATTAAAGAGGGTGTGGGATCAGGAGCCTGCACAAATCAATTGGTGACTTGATATATTTGAGGTATGTTGATCTCTCTAACACCCTTTTGGAAACTTTACCAAATACGATCGAGAACCTCTGCAATTTGCAAACGCTGGATCTCTCAGGCTGCCATAATTTGATGAATTTGCCAAATGGGATAACACGATTGATAAACCTGAGACATCTGATTATAAAGGACTGCACAAGACTCACCCGTATTCCGGCTTCGATGAGAAGTTTGCTGAATCTGCAGACCTTGCCAATTTTTATTGTTGGTCCTGTATTTGATGAGAACCTTTTCCAACTTGTGCATCTAGACCTGCGTGGTGAGTTAAAAATCAAGCATTTAGAGAATGTTGGTAGTATAGTACTAGACTTGTGTTTGGAGCAAAAGCAGCTTCACTCACTGGGATTATCATGGGGGGATGATGAGGCAAAGTCGGATCATTCTCCATCGAGGCAACCTTTAGAAGGGCATCATACCGATCATATTCACGCGGAGACTCTGCTCAACTTGTTGAAACCCAACAACACTTTGAGAAAGTTAATTCTAAATGGCTACTCGGGAGCTGTGTTTCCACAATGGATGAACGACATCATGCTTCCTAATTTTACAGAGCTAGTTTTGAACAACTGCAGAAGAGGCGAAAAGCTTCCTACGCTCGGGCAACTTCCTTTCCTCAAGGTTCTCAACATGCAAGGACTAGATGCAGTGGTGAGCATTGGTAGTGAGTTCTACGGTATAGAAGGTAGAGGAACTGCATTTTCTTCACTGGAGCAGCTAACCCTCAAAGATTTTCCTAGTTTACAATCATGGGAGAGTGAGGATTCACAAGATGCCCTAATTTGCTTGCAAAGACTAACCATCATTGAATGTCCTAGACTCGAAACCATGCCACGGTTTCCAACTCTTCAACATTTGGAGCCGCAAAACTGCAATGCTAGGGTACTCCGGTCAGCAGCAGAGCTAAATTCACTCTCCACTCTTATTATTGACTCATTTCCAGAGTTATTGCACCTACCACAAGGGTTGTTGCAGAACAGTCCTCTTACATCTTTGACAATCAGCTCTTGCCAACAACTTAGTTCACCGCCATGGGATTTGAAAAACCTTGAGTCACTGACTTTACGCTGGTGTGAAGAACTATCTGCTCTGCCATAGCAGATTAGAAACCTTACCTCTCTGGAGTCTTTGGAAATCACGGAGTGCCATAGTTTAGTCTCTTTGCCAGAGGAAGGCATTCGGGCTTGCATTCCCTTCGATCATTTTCTATAGAGAACTGCAATAACATGGCTTCTCTGCCAAAGGGAATAAAGCACCTCACAGCCCTTGAGCGCTTGACAATCATGTATTGTCCAAATCTGCCCTATTTACTCGATGAACTGCAGCATCTCTCAACACTCCGAAGTCTTAGTATATTAAGCTGCCAAGTACTGGCATCTCTACCAGAAGGACTACAATACATCAAGACTTTGCAGAACCTGGAAATTTGCAGCTGTCCAAACCTCATGGATTTGCCAGATTGGGTGGAGAACCTCATTTCTCTTCGATCATTGGCAATCACCGATTGTCAGAATATGAAATGTTTTCCAAAAGGTCTAGAACATCTCAATGCACTCCAGCATTTTTCCATTAGAGATTGTCCTGACCTTGAGGAAAGATGCAAGGACAGAGGAGCAGACCGGAAAAAGATATCCCATGTCCCATACATCTACATCGGATCATCAGCATCACAGCAGGTAACACAATGTTGCTGCAAGCACTTCAGGCTACAACAGTTATAAACTTTTCTTTTTTCTAACTGGTAAAGTACTTGTATCCCTTCCTATAAAATTGTAGCAATTGATATATAATACCAATTTGCATGCAATTTATCATTTCAATTCACTACCTACAACAAAGTGAGTCAATAGCATACTACTGTAAGTTTTTTGTATTCTGTATATTCAATTGATCTCATAATACAAAGGATACAGCTGTTTATATAGACCTCTTAACCAAAAGACAAAAAAGGAAAAGATGTATTCCTAATCCTAAGACTAAAAAGGAAACAAAAACATGCTACCATATATCACAATACAACTATCATATATCACAATACACTACCATATATACATATATACACAATATTCTCACACCCCCGTTCAAACTCAAGGTGTTTTAGCAAAAACACTGAGAGTTTGCCAAAAAGAAATTAAAGCGGTGCAGTGGTGTGAGTCTTGGTAAAGAAAGCAAGTTGTAGAGCCGAGGAGACGAAAGGAAACAAGATAGAGTCAGACTGCAGATGCGGACAGACAAAGGGGCAATCAATCTCAATGTGCTTGGTCCGCTCATGGAAGACAGTATTATATGTAATCTGAATAACACTACAGTTGTCACAATAGAGAGAAGTCGGAGAAGACTGGGGGACGCCCAAGTCAAAGAAAAGACAACGAAGCCAGACAATTTTGGCAATAGCATGAGCCATAGCACGGTACTCTGCTTCGGCAGTAGAATAGGAAACAATAGTTTGTTTTTTACTTTCCTAAGAGATCAAGGAATTGCCAAGAAACATACCGAAACCAAAAATGAACTTACGATTGGTAACATCACCGGCCCAATCAGCATCATCATAGGCCACTAACTCCAAGGAAGAAGTAAACGATAACAGCAAGCCTTGGAAGATAGTACTGTGAAAATAGCAAAGAATCTGAACCAAAGCAGTCCAATGTGTAGAGCAAGGAGTAGAAACAAACTGGCTAACCACATGAACAGCATAGGCAAGATCAGGGCGAATAACCGTCATATAGACTAAGCAACCCACAAGCTCACGATATAAAGTGGGATCATCCAGAGAGACATCATCAACAGTGTGGAGCTTCACATTAAGCTCAATGGGGGTATCAGAAATCTTAGTGTCAGTAAGACTGGCACGGTGAATAACCTCATTGGCATACTTGGCCCGAGACAAAAAATAGCCCTTGGTATAAAAAGCCACCTCAATACCAAGAAAGTACCTCAAAGGTCCCAGATCCTTCATTTCGAAAGTGCGGAAAGATATTGCTTGACCTCAGAGATAACAGAAGAGTCAGAGCCAGTGATGATCATATCATCCACATATAGTAATAAAGAAACAAAACCAGTAGAGGTGTGGAGAAGAAACAAAGTAAAGTTGTGGGCACAAGGATAAAATCCAAGCTTAGTAACAGCCGTCTGAAAGCGATCATACCAAGCATGAGGTGATTGTTTCAAACCATACAAAGTACGTCAAAGATGACAAACCTGTCAAGAGGAATGAGGAAGGCCAGAGGGAGGACACATGTATACCTCCACAGTGAAATAACTATTAAGAAAAGCATTCTTAACATCCATCTGATAAAGAGGCCAATGACGAACAGCAGCAACAGAAATCAAAGTACGGACAATAGTCATCTCAGCAACTGGAGCAAAGGTTTCCTTATAATCAATGCCATACTCCTATGAGAAACCTTTGGCAACTAGGCGAGCTTTGACGCGCTCAAGGGAACCATCAGAATGAGTCTTGACTTTATAGATCCATTTGCAACCAATCAGATTCTTGCCAGCAGGCAAAGGAACCAGTTCCCAAGTACTAGTTTTCTGCAAGGCAGACAACTCATCCTCCATAGCTTGAATCCAATTAGGATCCTGACAAGCCTTCTTGTAAGACCGAGGTTTTGAAAAAAAGAAGTGAATAACAGACAAAAACGTACAATATGAAGGAGAAAAACATGTGTTAGAAAAACTAAGTTTAACTACCTGTTTATGAATGCGAAGGGGATACTTACGGAGAGCAAGATCAGAAACAGGAGGAACAGTAGTAGGGACAGAGTTAACTGGTAGAGGAAGAGTCTTGCGATGAGAATAGGCTAACAACGAAGGAGGAGAAAGAGCCGGCGGGGGACGAGGGGGGAGAAGGAAACAGACTCATAGGGTACAGTAGAGAGAGACTCAACAAGAGGAATGTTAAGAGGAGAAGAAGGAACAAGCTCATGGGAAACAATAGAGATATACTTAGCAGCAGGGACCTCAGAAGGAAACAAATCAATGTGAACCAAGTCTTCTTTAGAAATTGGAGCGGTGAGAGGTGGAAACTGAAAATAAGCAAGACGTTCCAAAAAGGCAACATGACGGGAAATAGGATTGTAACAACGATAACCTTTCTGAGTAAGATTGTAACCCAAAAAGGCACACAGGACAGACCGGACACTAAGTTTTGTCTGATTTTTTTGGGAAAAAAGAACAAAACATGCAGACCTAAAAACATGAAGGAAAAAGTAATTAGGAAGTTGAGAAAATAGAGCCTCATAAAGAGAATGACTAGATAGTAGGGGGGTAGGCTTATGGTTGCGAAGAAAAGCAGCTGTAAGAATTGCTTCTCTCCAAAAAGGAGCTGGAACAGAGGCAGAAAGGAGAGATCTAGCTTTCTCAAGATAGTGACGGTATTTACGCTTGGGATGAATAGTTTGGGTAGGTGTATCAGTACAAGAAGTTCGGTGAATGGTACCCAAATTTGACAGATACTCACAGAACTCAATTTTCAAATATTTCCCACCTAAGTCAGACCGTAATAATTTAATAGTAGACCCAAACTGTATAGTGATCATAAACTGAAAGGAGAGGGTCCTCAGACACCCATATGCACAAGAGAAACATAAATAGAAGTACTTTTATTGAATGGTAAAGCTAACATTTTGGCAAGTTTACATTCCCGACATTCATCAATAGTACTAGAAGAAACTTTACCTAATAATTCTGACTGAGCTAAAGACCGTAAGCGATCGACAAACAAATGACCTAGGTGAGAATGTCATAAATAAAACTGACTCGACTGAAAATCTAACTGAAATGAGGAAAGTGCAATTGGAGAGGTGGATAAAAGGAGATGTAAGCTTTCTACCCACATAAAGATCTCCAACTCTACGACCGATCTCAATCTGCTTCTTGGACACCTAATCCTGCACACAACAGACAGAAGAGGAAAATATAACATTAAAACCAGAAACATCAAGTTGGCTGATAGATAATAAGTTGACAGATAGTTGAAGAACATAAAAAACAGAGAGAATAGTAACAACAGACATGGCAGATGGTAAGACAAACCCAATACACACAACAGACATACCAAACCTATTAGCAGTATTAATAGTAATAGGAACAGGAAGGGGACTACAGTTTCGAAGTAAGGAAAGATAAAGAGTCATATGATGAGAGGCACCAGAATCAAAATGCTAAAGAGAAGAAGGGATATCGGAGGAAGACCCAAGCAAACCTGAATGAAGAGGTGTAAGAGCGGAGGCAGATGGTGATGGCTAAGAGGTGGACATAATCTGCTGAAGTTGAGCAATCTGAGCACTTAAGAAAACCAAGTCAGGATCGGGAGAAGCAGATGCTGCGTGAGTGGTAGGAGGCCGGAAAGTACTCAGAGTAGGACCGCAAAACTTTGTTTGAGGTGTCTAACGTCCCTTCTTGGGACAATTGTGCTTCCAATGGCCCCTTTGATAGTAGAAAACACACTCATCTAAAGCCAAGGGCCCTTTCTTGGGCTTGGCAGTGGCCTGAACCGGTGGGATCGATAATAGTGGAGGTTGAGTAAGAGCTAGGAAGACAGATGGAGACAAAGTTTGACTGGTCATTTTGAGACGAGTTTCCTCGAAGAGAAGCTCATGAACAATGGCATCCACAGAGGGAAGAGGAGACTGGTGAAGGATGCCACCACGAATAGCCTCATACTAAAGGGAGAGAGCCATTAAAAACTACACTAAACGACCTCGCTCTCGAAACTTAATATAAACATCTAGAACCTTAAGGCTGGAAGGTTCCATAAGAGCCAACTAATCCCAGAGACCTGCCATTTCAATATAGAAATCTTGAATAAACAGATCCTGCTGACGAGCTCCTTGAATAACTGTTTCCAACTCATACCGCTTAGCAAAGTTGGATTGTTGATAAATACTCTGTAAGTAATCCCTGTTAGAATAGGAAATAAGTTAGAATAGGAAGTACGTAATTGTGTGATTGTGTTTCCTTATATTATGTTATATGGCACTCTTGTAATTACTTAGTATTATCAATATAAAAGGGAATGAAGTCCAACTCATTCTCTAACTTTTTCTCTTCTCCAAATCTACATGGTATCAGAGCCAAAACCCTAGCCCATAATCAGTTTGATGTGAAGAATACCTTTCTTCATGGAGATCTAGCAGAAGAGGTCGATATGGATATCCTCTTGATTTTGCGGATGTTAAGTCCAACAGTAAAGTATGCAGGCTCCAAAAGTCACTTTATGGGCTAAAGAAGTCTCCTAGGACTTGGTTTGAAAGGTTTGCTCAAGCTATGCTGAACTATGGGTTCAAGCAAAGTCAAGCTGATCACACCTTATTTGTGAAACACTCCTCACATGGAAAGACCACAGCTCTTATTGTTTATGTTGATGATATTGTTTTGACAGGAGATAATGTTGAAGAGATTTCTCGTTTGAAAGAATACTTAGGTAAGGAGTTTGAAATCAAATACTTAGGCTATTTGAAGTATTTTTTGGACATTGAAGTAGCTCGGTCCAAGAATGGCATCTTCATATGCCAGAGGAAGTATGCACTTGACTTGCTAAAGGAAACTGGAATGCTTGGAGGTAGACCTTGTTATACACCTCTAGAATTGGGCCAGAAACTAAGTGAGGATTAAGAGGGAGATCCAATAGACAGGGGGAGATACCAGAGACTAGTGGAAAAGCTCATATACTTATCCCACTCACGTCCAGACATTGCCATTGCCGTGAGTATAGTGAGTTAGTTTATGTATGCTCCGAGAACTTCCCACTTAGAGGCAGTTATAAGAATCTTGAGATACCTAAAATCTTCTCTTGGAAAGGGTCTTTATTTATCAAAACATGGCCATCTCAGTGTGGAGGCATTTACTGATGCAGATTGGGCTAGATTGGGCTAGATCTGTCACTGACAAACGATCAACTTCTAGATATTGCACATTTGTTGGTGGTAACCTAGTCACATGGCGAAGTAAGAAACAGAATGTGGTTGCTAGATCTAGTGCTGAGATAGAATTCAGGGCTATGGCTCAGGGTGTATGTAAGTTACTATGGATTAAACTTTTGTTGGGAGACTTGAAAATCCATCAGAATGACTCCATGCGACTATACTGTGACAACAATGCCGCAATCAATATAACTTATAATCCAGTTCAACATGATAGAACTAAGCATATGGAGATTGATAGACACTTTATCAAGGAAAAACTCACTAGTGATATCATATGTATTCCATTTGTGAAGACTGGAGACCACTAGCTGATGTTCTTACCAAGGGGCTAGGGAGCAAATCATTTCATGGCATCCTCAACAAGCTGGGCATGAGAAATATCTTTGCACCAGCTTGAGAGGGAGTGTTAGAATAAGAAATACGTAATTGTGTTTCCTTATATTATGCCGTATGGCACTCTTGTAATTACTCAGTATTATCTATAAAAAGGAATGAAGTCCAACTCATTCCCTAACTCTTTCTCTTCTCCAAAACTACAATCCCACACCTCTTTGGCAGTGCTGTATTTAGAGAACATCATCCCGATACGATCATCCACAGAGTTATGGAACCAGGTCAAATCTTGGACATTATCACAATCCCAAGTGTCACAGGAAATCAGACATTCTTCTTATTTTAGATCCGATGGATGAGACATAGAACCAGAAACATATCCTCATTTTTTTCAACCGAGAAGAAAATTTCTCATAATACTAGATAAATAAGCATAGTTGTCACCTGTAAGTTTGCATTTAATAGCTTGAATTTTATCTTCTAACATTGTAATAAACCAGAAATAAAAGAGAAAGGAACTGATGGGGCAAAATGAGAAAACCCAATAAATCTGAGGGGTCAAACTGTAATAACCCAAAGTTGGGACAGAAGGATAAAAAATTGGTGGACTGAAATCAGAGAACAGAGACCAAAGACCAAAGAGAGAACCAAAGCAGAAAAGCTTCGATCGACATAGCTAGAAAGAGAGAACTCGAAATCGAGCCAAAGCAGAGGTCGAGAGAGAGGGAGACAGAGATCCCTCAAACCCAAACTAAAGTGGCTACTTCAAAAGTCTATCGCGACTTCGGAGAAGACCAGAGAAGTCTGTCGCAACTTCAAAGAAGTATAGAGAGGGCTATCGCGACTTCGGAGAAGCCCAAAGAGACCTTCGTGGCTTCGGAGAAGGCTAGAGAAGACTTTGAACAACAAGCGTGAATGACGAGAAAGAACTTCGAATGTCAAGGCCAGACCTAGGGTTTCAGACGTAGCTCTGATACCATGTAAGTTTTCTATATTATGTATATTCAATTGATCTCATAATACAAAGGATATAGCTATTTATATAGAACTCTTTAACCCTAAGACATAAAAGGAAACGATGTATTC